TTCCCCTCCTCCTCCTCCCTCTCTTCCCCCTTCTCCCCAGGTCTCTCAGGCTGGGGCTGTCTTTGCAGTCTGAGCTTTTCCTGGCTCTTCCTGAGATGGGCTTGCCCCTTCCTGGGTCACCTCTGCAGGGAGACTCTCTCTGGTCCCAGCTCTCTGCCATTTATTCCGGGGCTGCCCTCCAGGGCTGCCCTCCTGAGCTGCCCCATGTGCGAAGTGCCGGTTTCCTCCAAGGACCCGGGATGGTCCGAGGAAGGTAATCCCTCCGTGGCCTGGGGGCTGCGGTCTGGAGTGACCACACTGCCCACATCCACCATGCATCCGTTCCCCCGTGTCGCACTGTACGGAGAACAGTCGCAGCAGTGAGGCGTGCATTCCCCTGAGCCCAGGAGCCCAGTGCCGACACCATCTGGCAGGAGGTGGAACCCAGTGCTGACACCATCTGGCAGGAGGTGGAGCCCAGTGGCAGTGAGGCGAGGGGGCCCGTGGACAGAGCCTTGCTCACTTGCCCGGTGGTAAGAGGGTGGAACATGCCCCCGGCCGGCCGCTGACTGGCACCAGTCTGCATCATGGGCACTGGGAGCCCTGCCTCGGGGGAGCATGAGCTCGGGTCTTGTCTCCTGCTGTGTGTCCAGAACCTGCCCCTTGCCTGGCCTGTCACCTGCTCATGGATGCTTGTAGAACACTTAAGAGGGAGACGAGGAGAACTGAGACAGAGCTGCCCTGGGGATGGGGAAAGGTGTCAGGGAGATGGTGCTGTCTCACGCTGTGACACCAAAGGAGACCGTCGCTGGCTCCGTGAGCTGCCGCCAGGTTTCCAGCTGGTTTCTTTGAGTTCTGAAGGTCCACCGTGGCCGCACCCTTGGTCACGGAGAATGGCGAGAATGCTCTGCTTCACAGCCGCGCCCTTCCTCTTTAGTGGGTAACAAATGAGCAAGATAGTTGGTGGGAATTTGCTTCTCGGGGGAGGATGGCGATTTTCATGTGTATTTCATATCTGAGGCTAAATTTAGGGCACAGCAAACATGTTGGTTTTGGCAGGTCAGTACGTGTATTGGTTAGGGTAGGAAAAAGGTAGACATGGTGGTCTTTTGGCGTCCACTAAACTGCTCCTGGTGGTACAGGCCCAGAGTGCACCCTGCCCTGCTCTGCAGGGGTCCAGGAGGGTCCCAATGGTGCAGCCCCAGAGTGCACCCTGCCCCACTCTGCAGGGGTCCAGGAAGGAGGGTCATGATGGTGCGGGCCTGGAGTGCACCCTACCCCGCTCGGCACCGTCCAGGGACCTAGGGGAGTCCCGAAGCCTGAAATCCATTCTCTATCCCAGGAAGCCTGCAAGGCTGATACAGGCCTTGCGCTGCGGGTTCAATATTCTGTTTTCACAAACAAGTAATTGGTCATGCTTCATCGTAGCACTCACCACCTGGAAGGTGGCAGGAAGGGGAGACGCACGGACTGTCACACAGACAACTGTGCTGTTTTGTTGCTCAGGGAAGTAAAACTGACTGGTCGGAAACCAGCGTTTGACATTTACTTTTTTTTTTTTTTTTTTTTTGGAGAGATTTTCGCTATAGGGCGCGTGCACTCGCCAGACAGAGAGAGACATAGAGACAGAAAGCGAGAAATCACCCCCCAGGGGGGATGGTCACGCCGCAATCCCTTCTCCTCTATTCTCCTCTCAGGATCTTGGGCACGCACGCACATGCGCCCAGCGTGAGTTTTAATCCACCAGGTCCGGGACGCAAACCGCGGTTGACCACGTGGGAGTCCAGCGACATAGCCATTACGCTAACTGCTGGGAAACCAGCGTTTGAACTTTTGGCCAGTGGGGCGGTTTAAACTTGGGGCAGAAAGTTAGAATGGAAGTCCTTATGTCATTCTGGACTCACTGTTAGAAGTCACGACTGACAGGTGTGTGTGAGGTGCAGCACGAGGCATGCCCTGCCCACACTGGAGGGGTGGCTCGAGCAGAGTAAGGCTCCCACGTGTTTATGGCCTGTGAGAGCATTCACCACCCCCAGAGTGTGCGCTTTCTCATCAGAACGAGTGAAATTGAGATGTCGTGCAGGCTCATGGTTTAGAATCAGATCACCAGCTTTGCTGCACCAGTAGGTAGCATGGCTGGAAACAAAAGTCCAAATTAGAGCGAATTAAAAACCTTTTAAAATGTGTTGACAAGTGATATACGTTACATTGACTGAGTGTGTTGAGTTATTTTTCTCTACTTTTCATGCTCCATAAGGATTCAAGGATTAATCCATTCAGGTAAGGAATGTAACCAGAGGTATTTAGAGTTATTGTGTATGAAACTTTACATTTTTGTTTAACTTTTCTTGAAAATGTATAGTAAGCACGTGGTTTTATTTTATTTTTTTAAAGAAGTTTTTGCCTTAGGATATGTGCGCTCACTGGAGAGAGGCAGAGATAGTAGGAGAGAAAGTGAGAGATCACCCCCCAGGGGGGTGGCCACGCCACAACCCCTTCTCCTCCATTCTCCTCCAGGATCTTGAGCACACATGCGCCTGGCATAGGTTTCAAGTCACTGGGCTTGGGACTTGAACTGCAGTCAGCCATGTGGGAGCCCAGTGACATAACCACTGTGTACCTCGTGGCCCCCGGTTTTATTTTTAACTATATGGTAACGTAAGTGAGGAATTTGCATTTTTTAATTCAAAAGCTTACTTAATTTTTAATTTCTCGAAAGCTGTTTTTGCCCCTTTGCAGCCATATTGAGAACGGGGAACGGGTGTTTTGATGGTGTATGGGCCCTGGAGTGTGCGTGGTGGCTGTCGCCGGGTCACTCTGCATGTGAAGTATGCAGGCCGGGCGCTCACACTTCTCCCCACACCACATGGGTGGGATTTCATGGCTCATGAGGGTGTGGTTGCTCTCGAAGAGCTTACCACCAGACCTCTGCTTTTACAGGGCTCGAGAGAGAGCTGGACTTTCGGACGTGGTCTTCAGGGAGCTTGCTCTCTTTTGTTTTGTTTTAACGTTTTTGTTGTAAAGTACGTACACTCCCAGAGAGACAAAGGGAAGGTGAGAAATCAGCCCCAGAGGAGATGGCCACGAAGCAATCCCTTCTCCTCTTGGGATTTTGGGCAGGCACACACACATGCCCCTGGAGTTCAGGTCCAGGACTTGAACTGTGGTTGGCCTTGCGGAAGTCTAGCACCTTAACCATCATGCCACCTGCTGGACCCTTAATGGACGCTGTCAGATACATGCTGTGTTAGATGCTGCTGGTGCCTGGCCAGGCTCCCTTTGGTAGGGGTGCAGAGTGTCCCCTTGCTGCTCACCCTGGAAGTGTGTGTCCCTGTCCCCACCCCAACCCCATCTCTTCCAGCTGCCAGCTGGTGGGAGGTGGGTGCCGGAGCTGGCCCTCTGCCTTAAGGAAGGACTTGCATTCTAGCACAGGTCACAGTGCTGGCCAGACTGCGCTCGGGTGTGACCACAGCCCACCGTGTTCCTCCTGCACCTGTCTAGCTCCCTGCACTCCCTCAGGTTCCTGCTGGGAGCAGTTCCCGCATAAGCATCCCTGTCCCAAGCCCTGCCTCCAAGGAGCCTAACCAAGGATACCTCAGACCTGTGAGGCTGAGAAAATGTGTGGGGAAGCCTCTGTACCCCAACCCAGTTTCAACAGTTGCCAGGATTTTATTTACCTTTTTAATCTGTTCCTTATTTTCTAAGTTTATTATGTAATTCACTGTTGTAAGGCACATGTACACACTTGCAAGCCCGAGTGAAAGACAGGGCAGAGACAGAAGCCACAGGGAGTCACTGCCCTGCAGTCTCCTGTTCCCACCCTCCAGCTCGTCCTGATCTCGGTGTCCACTTGTGTGTCCTTAGTCTTCCAGGTCGGCCAGACCTGGACCTGGGGCTGGCAGCGTGGCCTCCACACTGCAGTTCCACACACTGCTGACTGCACCAGTTCTCACGTGCTCTTCCATGAGGGAGAGGGAGATAGAGACAGGCACCTCCAGAGGCCTCGCCTCAGCTCAGCCCTGCACACATAGCCACAGCCAGTGCGCCATTTGGTTACTGCTCTGACTCTGTCTCCCCGACGCTTAACCTGCACTGTGGAACACGCCAGGTGTCATGCCTTGTGTGCGTCTCCGTTAACCTCGCAGGCAGAGACGGGTGGGATGGCACAGCAGTTGTCTCAGACCCAGCAGGACCGACCGCTCCTCAGCATCGATAGCCAGCCCGTGTTCATATCTCCCTCGAGAGTCATGGGATCTCACCATTCTTTTTCTTCCCTCTGCTTTAAGCTTTTATTTACAGAAATTGTTACTTACAACAAGATTTAGGATTTTTCCTTTTTCTTTTCTTTTCTTTTTATTTTTTTTGGAGAGGTTTTTGCTATAGGGTGTACCCTTGGCAGAAAGACAGAGAGAGACAGAGAGACAGAAAGCAAGAAATCACCCCCTGGGAGGATGGCCACGCTGCAATCCCTTCTCCCTTCTCCTCTCGGGATTGTGGGCACGGACGCACATGCGCCCGGTATAAGTTTAAGCCACTGGGACGTACATGCGCCCGGTATAAGTTTAAGCCACTGGGTCCGGGACTCAAACCATGATCGACTACGTGGGAGTCCAGGGACATAGCCATTATGCCATCTGCTGGTCCCCTACAAGATTTAGGGTTTAAAAAAATTATTATTCATAGTTGAGAGCATGCACACGCACGCAGGAAGCACCCTGTGGAGGGTCTAGTCAGGCCGTGGTCTGCCCCTCCAGCCCAGCAGTGTCGGGGTGCATGCACTCCATGCACTTCAGGTCCACCCCACTGGAGATCTGAACCTCTGGGCCTGCAGGGTCCAGCTCTGGAGTCCAGGAGGCTAGAGCCTGAGCCCCAGGCAGGGCCAGATGTCACTAGTCTTACGTGACAGCTGCAGTGCAAACTGAAGATTCAGAGAATGTGGAGCGTGGGGCTCGCCTTGCTGCAGTGTAGCGAATCAGATGCCATGGCGCTCTGAGACATGTTCTGCTTCCTTCTCTCTCAAGGTCCTGGATGCCTCGTCCCTTAGTTTCAGCACCAGGTTGAAATGGTTCGTCATCTGCTTCGTGAGCGGCATCTTCTTTTCCATCCTTGTGAGTCGAGACTTCCTGTGGTTTAACAATGTCTGTGCTGTTTAGACTAACCCTGCCTGGTACAGCAGGCAGCCCCTTTGGCTGAAAGTCGTTAGACTGTCTTAATGGAACCTCTGTAAGTCACCTGGAATAAAGGGGTAGAGGTCGAGAAAGAAGGTGGAAAGCATATTTGGGGACTCGTACAAATTGTTGTATCGAGATAGCCGGAGGGCCAGCGATCTAGGTGTGTGTTACCTCGCTTAATTTGCCATTGTTGGTGAGCTCTGAGTTTGAAGTGTGAGTCGTCAAGACGAGCGCCCCGGGGGTTTTGTCCTTGCCCACGTGTGTACTCACACAAATGGCAGATGGTGCGGGTCAGTGTGTGGTAGGAACCAGCGTGCAGTCAGAAGTCACCCCCCTCTCCTGACGCTCCCGTCAGATCTCAGGCCCACACCGACAGAAACACCGCGTAAGCACGGCGGTGCCCCACACCTCTGCTTAGGCACGGAATCACAACAACTGTACTGTCTGACTTAGGGAACTGGATTGCTGTGGCTTCCCGGTGGCATAAAGCTTTTTGCAGTGTTTTATACCTTTGGAAATCTCGCCGCCTTGGCCAGGTATGTATGGAGTTCGGCTTCGCAGGTGTGTGCTCGCGATTGCTACCGAGTTTGCCTTCTGAGAAGGCTCTCCTGAGGAGATCTGCTTCTGTAGCTCTGCATGTTGTGAGTTCAGCCTCCGCGTTTCTGTTCACTCCCTGCATATGTACGGAGAGCTGTGTGCCTGCTACTGTGTCATAGCAGCGGAGTATTAGCGACGGGCATCGCCCACTTAGGGGGGCCTACCGTGTCATGCCAGTGGAGTATTAGCGACGGGCGTCGCCCTTCTTGAGGGATCCCTCCTATGTGCAGGATGGTGCCTGGTGTTCATGTCCTTTACAAGAAGTCCAGGAGGTGGGTACTTCCCCATGTGACAGTAGGAGGTAGGAGCAGGGAGCCCCTGTGACACACCTGCTAAGCTGACCGAGGGGAGAGGTGGGCCCCTAGCCCAGCCTGGAGCTGCTACTCTAGGGCTTGCTGGGACAGCTCTGGCTTTAGTGAGGGGACTCTGGAAGGGGAGCCGGAGCGGGTCTGGTGGTGGTGCCAGGAATGACAGGGCGGGCACGGGGTGGTGTGCAGGCGCAGGGAGGCCACTCTACAATGGGTGCCCAGGGGTGCCTCGGTCCTGAGTGCATCCTTGGGTGTGTCGATACCTCTTGGAACGGTTGGAAATGTTCTTTTGAAGGTAAGGGAAACATCCAGCAGACTTAGTGAGAGACTTCTGTGAACTCGTTTTTCCAGAGCAGTTATTTTTGCATAGCCAGGCAGGCTGGTATACCCCTGTCTCTGTGTTTTGTCTCAAATAGTACATGCTTCTTAATGGGGCCCGTGAAGCAGCTGAAGAAAATGTTTGAAACAACAAGATTGCTTGCAACCATTATTATGCTTGTAAGTAAATAGGGAACATTTCTAAACTCCGTTACAGTGTGGGTTGTGAGTGCCTCCCTGTCCTCACGCGTGTGCTGCCTTGGAGTGGAGCGATGTGACTGTGAGGCCGTGTGGGTGAGGATTGTGGGTGGTGCGGTGTTCTCTTGCCCTGCTGTCTGGGATCCAACATTGTAGCTCTGTGCATTTAAAATGAGGAGTCAGGCTGGGTACGTTTCACTTTTGAACCCTGTAGACTGTTTCCTAAGGGTTGTTGCTTGCACTCTTTGGTGGGTGGGACTGCAACACAGGTGACTTCTGAGTCCACTTGGGTCTCCTTGGTGGGTCCTGGCGTTACTCACCTTCGGGCCCGTGTCTCTTCCCTGCGTGCTACCAGCCCAGTCATCCTGACAGCCGGGCTCCGTAGGACGTCACATGTGCCTCCCTTGCACGGTGGGCTCTGTGCATGGCTATTAGCCCATGGCTCTTACGCATTCCCTCCATCGGGCAGGGGGAAGTTGGTACTTGGGTTATGAATACAGCTTTCATCAGCTGGCTCTGTGGTCCGGAGCTTAAGGGAGCAGGTTCCCACGTGGCCAACCATATGGTTTGATTCCTGTCCTGGTGTCTTGGAAAACGCAGAGTGTGTGTGCCCGTGTGCCCCAAATCCTGACAGGGTTGGGAATAGAGAAGAGACCACAGCATGACTACATACCATTGCAGAGATCATCTCTCTGTCTCTCTAATGCTCCTGTGCCCTCTTGCTTTCTTACTCTCTGATGAGCATATGCTCCCTCTGGCAAAAATAAATAGATAGATAGATAGATAGATTGAGCTTTTGTCTTCATACGTGTTGAGTTTAGTTGATCATTGTTTTGTGTGTTACGGCAGAGCAACCCAAGTGCCCGTCCCTGCCTCCTAACTCACTTGTTCAGGGTCTGTTGCAGACTTTGACTTAAAGCATTTCAACATTTAAGGAATTGAAATATCCTCATCAGCTGATTAGTTTTCATTTTTATTTTTTAACTTCTTTTTTTTTTAGAGTTTTGCCATAGGGTGTGTGTGCTTGCCAGAGAGAAGTGAGAAATCACATATACACACACACACACACAGACACACACCCACCCTCTCTCCCCTTGAGCAATAACCACACTGCCATTCTCCTCTTGGGAATTTGGGCATGTGTGCACATGGGCTGGTGTGGTTGTTTTGTTTTTTTTTTTAGTTACCAGTTCTGGGACTCGAACCTCTGAGTTGGCTGTGGGATCTAGCACTTTAACCACCACATCACCTGCTGGATGCTTAGTTTTTACTTTTAACTTCAGGTTAAGTTTTCTTACCTGAAATGCTTGGAACAAGAATTGGTTTTGGATATCAGCCATTTTGGATTTTGCAGTTTTTATATTCACATAATGAGATAGCTTGGGGATAGGACTCAAGTTCAAATATAAAATGTATTTGTTTGTTGTTTTTTGGAGAGGTTTTCGCTATAGGGCACGTGCTCTCCCCAGACAGAGACATAGAGAGAAAGCGAGAAATCACCCCCAGGGGGGATGGTCACGCCGCAATCCCTTCTCCTCCATTCTCCTCTCGGGATCTTGGGCACGTACACATATGCGCCTGGCGTGAGTTTTAAGCCACCGGGTCCAGGACGTGAACCATGGTCAACTACGTGGGAGTCCAGCGACATAGCCATTATGCTAACTGCTGGTTCCCTAAAATGTATTTGTTTCTTACATTCCTTATACACATGGTCTCAGGTAGTTTTGTACAATATCTTTGTAATGTAGCTAAATGCAGCAACCTGTCACATGGGGTCAGCTGCAGAATTTCCCTCTTGTGGCAGAGTGTCAGTGCTCAAAAAATTTTGCATTTTGGACCATTTGGAATTTCGGAATTAGGGATGCACAAGCTGAATTAACGCAGGCTTTTCAAACACAGCTGTCTTTGTTAACTTCTACGTAAGGAAGTCAGCCTTTTTAATGTACTCTGCCTCACAGGCTTCTCCCATTTCTTCCCAGAGAAAAGGTTCACAGGTTAATGTTTTTACTTGCCAGAGGGTGTGCGCACATGTGGGGGTGGGGGCACACGTGTGAGCCAGGCACCCCGGGGAGTGTGGTCACACCAGAATCCCTTTTCCTCCGTTTCTCCTTCCCATCAGGATGCTGAGCGTGCAAGTACACGCACTCCGCGTGTTTTCAAACCTCCAGGGCCAGGACTTGAACTGTATTCAGCTGTGTGGGATCTGGCTCCCTTGACCACTGTGCCCATAGGCCTGGCCCTGCTTAATGTTTATTATTTACGTCTCTGTCCAGCCTTATATTTTATTCCCATTTCGTAACCTTCCAGTTATTCTGGATCTCTTACGCTAGCGTATGCTGGCATGTATGGGAACAGTGACCCTCACAGGGTTGCTGAGGGTCATCTTATACTGTTAGACGACAAGACGTTGTTATTCCGCTAAGATTTTACTTATGTTTGTTTAGGGTGGCACTTGTCGGGGCCAGCAGACGGCCTAGTGGTTAGGGTGCTGGACTCCCACATTGCTGACCATGGTTTGAGTTCTGCACCTGGTGGCTTGAAACTCACATCAGGCGCATGCGCAGGTGTTCCAGTGATGCCGGGAAGAGACTGTGGTGGCCCCGGGTGATCTCTCCCTTTCTCTCTCTGTCTTTCTCTGGCCCCAGAAAGTGCACCTGCTCTAAGACAAGGACCGCTGCAAAAATTAAACAGATGGCACTTGTCACTGTCGTGATAAATGTGCACCTCGCTTGAACAAGCCGAAAGTCGAGAGGCCACTAGAACATTTGGAGATACAAAGTAACTCCCCAAAGGGATCATTCATTGTCTTTACTGTTAAAGTTGGTTTCTGTCATAGCGTGAGCGAGAAGGATGAGCACCCTCAGCACGGTGTCCTGCCATGACCCCTCCCAGGGCGCTCCCGCTGGCCGGAACCAGTGTGTACAGGCTGACAGGGACTCGCCCCGGACTTCGCACAGCAGCAGTGGTGACCGTGCTGGCTGGAGCTGGCCCGTCACGCTGGGTGTGCTGGAGCCGCAGTGGGAGAGTCCCCGTCCTCCGTCAGACTTTGCCTGGGCTGACTTGCCAAGGAGAGCGGGTAGAAATGGGTCTGGCCTGGCCTCGGGCAGTCAGGTGACGCTGCTCACCTTTCCAGGTTCTCTTCCAGGGGCCACGTGGCCATGTAACTCGTGTAGCCACGTGAGCACAGCATCCCCCTCTGCCGACCCCACACCATGGTGACCCCCTCCCCCTGAAGTGAAAGGCCGTCAGGAGAACTGCCCCATGCTGGCCCGACTGGCGCGCTCACAGCCCCACTGGCTGATGGCGGAGCAGCCTGGGGCAGACAGGTGGTGTCCACCCGGCTCCCAGGGCAGATGGGGGCCTGGGGCTGCCCGGCTCCCCCAGTGTGCACCAGAGTGTGCGTCTTCACAGCCTCTGCTGCTCCCTCCTGTCCCTGCTGTCAGTAAGGCAGGTCAGGGGCTGGTCAGAGCTGCTTTCATAGGGTGGAGAGTGATCTGAGAGTGGGGACAATGGAGTCACCTGGTGAGGCTGAGCCGGGTGGAAGACCACGGGGTCGCCCTTGCAGGCATGAGACAGGCCCTGACAGCCCAAGGGCAGCTCCTCGCCCTCGGGCGGCCTGCGGTCCTTTCTCGGCCAGCAGGTACGGGGGCACTGGCTTTGCTCAGGAGTGTGGTCCCGCCAGCACTGCAGAAGGGGACCGCGGGCAGCGGTGTCCGCGGTGCACGCAGAGCAGCGCCTGACTCTCTCTCTCTTCTGCAGCTGTGCTTCGTGTGCACCCTGTGTGCTGCTCTCTGGGTAAGTGACCAGCCACGCTGGCTTCAGCTGGCTGCCTGTCCCCTCATTACACCGTCATGTCATCTCAGAGTGGCTCAACGTCCAGTTCCTCAAAACCCCGAGACTGGGGGCATGTAGGCGTCCCGGACTGTGTGTGGTGGCACGGTTAGTGGCCAGGTGTGCAGCAGCCCAGGCAGGCGGAGGGAGTGAACCTGCTCGCCTCACCCCTAGGTCGGGCAAACCCTCCCGTGGGACAGGACAGGCCTGTGGCCTCTGCGGGGCCGGCTGCTGGGATGCAGCCGTGACTGGGGCAGGGCCAGGAGGGCAGCAGGGGCACAGGGCTGGGAGGAGACAGACAACGAGCAGAGAGCCAGGGGACCCGGCTTGGCTTGCCCTGGAGGGTGTGCCACTCACTCCTCACCTGCCTTCAGAGGGGGCCACGCGTCGCCTCCGGTGGGCAAGTGCTCTGTGCCGCTGTTCACCGTGCCCCTGCCACTTACCCGCTGTGCCCCGTGTCATTTACCCCCTCCCCGTGCCTCTATCCGCCGTGCCCCGCTACTTCCCGGGAGGCCAGAGGCCATGCTTGGGCTGTCTAGAAGACTACACATTTAAAGAGGACGTGGCAGCATGATTTTTTGAAATAGTCTTTGAAATATTCTGGTTTTCCTGTGTTTTGATGACGTAAGGACTGAAATTTAGATGCATGAGATTCATTTATTCACTTACTCTTCATTTCTTAGTGATACTTAAAAGAGCATTCTCAGACAGGCTCTGCACATCACTGTGGAACACTGATTTCTGGAGTTGAAATTGGTAGTCCATTTACTTAGTAAACTAGGCTAAGTGGGAATGAGAAAATAAAGATAGTGATGAACAGTTCTCAAAATAGATGTTTGTAAAACAGTCGTGGAAATTGTTTATATTACTCCATAAAATAGCTTTTCTTCAAAAGAGTAACTCAAGAAAAAGAGCACACGCAATGAGTAAAATAAGGAAAGGATAAAAATAAATAAATAAATAAGAATAAGTAAATTCCACTGGTTTCTCGCGTGTCCTTGGTGGGGCCGGGGACCTTGCGGATGGGCGTCCCCTCACCGCCGGGCTGAAGTGCTCTGGCTTTGAAGGGGAAGAAGACCTGAACTTGAGTTGATTATGGAAGATGTTTTTAAATTTGTGAACTCACCGTCTCTGTTCTTGCTGTCAGTGGCATAAGAAAGGACTCGCCCTGCTTTTCTGCATATTGCAGTTCTTGTCCATGACCTGGTAAGTCTCTTTCACACTGGCTAGAGAGCTCGGGGACCTGGTGTGGGAGACTGTGGGCCAGAGTTGGAGGGTGGCTCTGCCTGGACCCTGGGAGGCAGGGAGCTGAGCGAGGTCTAGAGTCCTGCTGGGCCTGCCACAGGCTTGTGCCTCGAGGGGGGGGGGCTGGGGGGGAGTGGGGGGGGCACCTTTGG